GCCTATTTCTCCCTCTAATCCACATCACACAGGTGTCCACTATTTATCAGTCAGTAGGTCACTCTATATATTAGCTCATTAGTTTATTAAGTATGCACTTCTCATTCCCTTCATTAAAATTGTGAGGTGACTGAGGAAGAAGTTTATTTCTGTTTATGTCCGTATTTTCCACATTAGCATATCTACTACATCTAGTGAGTGCTGACTTCCACCATGCTTGGATGTAGGGTGAGGCTCAAGGCTCCATTCCCTGATAACTGGGAGTGTCCTCCCTCCCAGCTGGGCTTTGTATTCCTCCCTCCAGATTCAGGGCTCACCCTTTTACCCTGCTGCAGCTCAAATTCCTTTTCCTTCCTGCTGTTGCTCACCCATCCTGACTCCTCTGAAATGTTGAAGATTAGTGCAGCAAACAAGATGAGAGCTGGCAGTCTTCATGACTCCACCCCTCCCCCACTCCTCCTTTCCAAGTCTGTGAGCCTGAGTGAAAAGGTGCCTAAGTTTCCCATATGAAAATGGGGAAAATAGAGAGCGAGAGGAAAAAAAAAATGCAGTGGTTGTTGGATTAGATGGGACCACCAATGTAGAATCCAGCAGACCTCAGAACTTGATAAATGCTAAAGATTCACGGTGGCTATCATTTCACACTTTAGAGCACTTAATCAAAATGCTACATTTTATTTAAAAATGTTTTTGGTTCCTGTTACTTTTGTCAGGCCATAGTACTTTGCATAATATTGTTGTTACTTCCCAGGCAAATAATTGTCAAACCTGGTTTGCTGGCGTGTGTGTGTGTGTGTGTGTGTGTGTGTGTGTGTGTGTGTGTTTATACTCAGAAGGAAGAAAGAATGCCTCAGGTTAGAGGCCACCAGGACTACATAGGACTGTCTAGAAAAAAAAACAAAAACAAAAAATTTTGCCTAATCAAATGTAAAGGAAAGAGGAAGGAGAGGTGACAAAGGTCATTATCTGCTAACTGAGGCTCACAAAAACCTTTGCATTATTAATGTTCTGATGAAGAAAGGTCCATGTTTAACATTCTGTACTATTGCCAGTAATTTCAACTTGGGATTTTTTTTTCTCAGATACTACGTCTTTCCAAGCGAACAGGCTTTAAACTTGTCACAAACTTGGGTAATTGCTCTATCCCCTGAGGAGTACTTCATCACTACTGGCTGGGAGGCAATCGAAATATTGTCTTGTATTTGATTTTACCTAAATGATAATTCACAGATCCATTGGATCTTTGCCCAGACAACTGAAAATTTAAAAAAAAAATTAAACCATCTTGGAGAAACACAAGTGAAGATGCAGGTAATGTGAATACCCAGGGACTGACATGCAAGCTCCGCTGGTGCTCCTTATGGGTGTGTCTCTGGTGGGTCTGCCCTTTGGGTTCTATAGGATTCCAGCATTAACTGTTCCAGCTGGCAAGATAATCGAGATGTTGTAATGTTCCTTGTCCCTGGGCAGCTGAGCTCAGCATCTAGTTCTACTTTTCCCTTCCAAAGGACTGGGAGGATATCCTTGGAGACATGTGAATACTTGCTACATCAAGAAATTGAATCCTCACTGTCCATCGTAGTACCAGGATTTGTGCCAGCCCTGGTTTAGTGTTCCAGGGTCCAGATTTAAATGTTAACGAAAATGAATAATATTCAGATTAGCCTAGAATAGTCCAAAGGAAGTTCATGGATGTAATAGTCATTACAATGGGATTTCTACACCTTGTGTGTATGCTTACTTCCGCCTGTGAGTTTGAGCTGTTCTGCTTCACTCTCGTCCATCATAGCCATTGATTGGACTCTACTGGATTCTATTGATCTCTTAACATGTGAGGACTGCTACTGCTGAGATGGCCTCCCTAGCATTGTTTGCTGTAAATCAACTGAAACACTGTCTTGTATGCTTCGACTTTACCTAAATGACAATTCTTAGATCAGTTGAATTGTTTCCCAGATAACTGAAAAAATAAAAATCAAGAAAACATTGAGTTAAATGATATTTTTTTCTCTCCCCCCCCCTTCCTCCTCTTTCTTCTTTTCTGTAGTTGTTCTCATTCAGCCACTTCCTTTCCTCCTCCTCCTCCTCCACCTTCTTCTTTGGTGGGTGTAACAAGTGTTCCCAATTGGAAAAGGTATAGTTCTCCAAATCCACCCTTGTTACAAATGAACCATAACCAAGAAGTCTGTAACTGTAGTGACCTGATGATACACAATGGGTAGCCCTCTACCACAGTGGTTAACATCTATCTCATCCTTTTCAATAGTATCAGCATTTATAAACCACAATTTTATCACTCACCTTTTGATATAAACCAGGGTGTTTTCACCTTTATTTTCCACACATATGTTGGAGAGTTAATGTTTTTGCCTATTTCTTTACATAGAGATACTTTTGGTTCTATGGGCAGATTGCAAAATAGAAATAATGCCCATGGTTCAAAACCTTACCTATCTATTTTTCTATCTCAGTTCACGTGAATCTACACATACAACTATATAAAATTACCATTTTCCCATATAGATAATATGCCTTGTATTTCGCTGTATATAATTAGCATATATATTACTGTAGTGTTTGTTTTTCTCTCTTTGATTGTATCTGCTAGCAATTTGGAATAGAAAATGGTTCTTAACACTCTCAAAGAGAAAATGATTATGCTATGTTTTTCTCAGAAAACTCCAACCTAGAATGAAATAGGCCCCAAATCAAAACCTTTCCCATTGTCATCATGTTATTTCAAGGATAATTTCATTTATATTTTTTGAAGCCCATTATTTTACTTTTCTCTTACTAGTTTGTGGTTTTTATCTACAGTGCAAATGACCATCTTTGCAGGCTGGCTTACAGCTTATGTACTGTGACATCCAAGTGTAGCCTGGGGAGTGTGCAGAACTAAGAGCAGACCATTTGCACCGCTTTGCAAACACTCATTTGTCCCTGGACTTTTGTAGTAAAGAAATGCATCAGTTTTTTCTCCCTTCTTACTTTCAAATACTAGTTGGGAAATCAAGCCAGCAAACTTTCTCTTGAACCAGCGATGTAATACTCAACACACAGCCGAGGTCTGTAGTTGGAATTGAAGTTTCCCCCTACCCCCTGTTTTTACACTCTGAACCTGTGTTTTATTAACTAGTCCCTCTGCTAAAGTTTTTTGATTCACACAAGAATAAAATGTGTCTATATTTTAATATAGAATATTTTAATATGAAAGAAATGAAAAGGCTTGGGATATAAAGAAAGCCACTTATGATTCTTTAACTATCAACGCATATCAGTTCACATAATTCTCCAACAACCTGTGAAATACATAATAGCAGATCTGAAACTAAAGATTGGAGACACTAAGCAGCTCCCTTGAGGTCACACAGTAAGTAAGAAGGAATGCCCACAATCCACCCTATTTGTAAGGCCAATTCTGCAGCCCACACCTTGACTCTGGTTACCCTTTAATGTGACTCATTGACCCATGTACATTTTGCCCAGATTATTTTTCCCTTTTTTGTTGTTAAGCGCCATGACAGACTGAATCACAAATACATACAAAAGGCCTACTATATTTATCAGCTTTGGTATTTCCATACAGTCAGAATGGTGTGGCCTACTTTTGGGGAGGAAGGGGTTACTTCAGGTTTTGCTGAGGTGGCTCCTTTCTGAGATCTACATTTGTCCCAGAAGCGCTCATGGTTGGTGTCAGGACTATTTCACACTGGACAGTTTTGTGGCTCGAACTTCCTCCTGCAGTGAAAGATATGTCTACTCTAGTGTATTACAACTAAGAAAAAGAAAAAGACAAAAACACCTCAAATTTATCTATCATTAGGATATGTGGGTGACAAAACATTTCTCCCCTTTTCTTTCTCCCGTTTATAAGACTTCTATTAGGAAGAAAATAGCATTCTTCTTTGTGATGTCAAGAAGTCAGATGCAAAATTACCACAAATGCCTCATGCTTAACAAACTGTTGGTGAGAAGGGGGATGCTCTCTTAGCTGTCCTGGGCCCTCCAAGGACTTGAGCATTGACAATTCTTTCATGTTCACATCATCTTCAAAGGTAGCCCATTTTTTTCCACAGTGACTATGAAATATACAACCTCTCTGCACTTAGTATACAACCGCAAAATGCATGCAATTCATAATAAACTCCTATCACCATCTCCTTCCTTGAGGAAAAAAAGCCTAACTTGGAGAAGTTTGAGATGGAACTGTCCTGGAAGGTAAGGGTTGGTGGCTGGGGGTGCTCTCTGCAAATGTCCAAGCAATTTTTGTGTCAACCCTTTTCACTTGCATTCAGCCTATAGGAGGAAATACAACCACCAGCGGAACCCTGAGTTCCCACGCTGAGGTTAAGACTGAATGAACCACTGCTGGTCCTTCTTATAGAATCTCCAGCACAAACCATGCCTAGTGAGGTAGATTGCCAAGCTCCAAAGCCACCAAACCCAAACACCTGACACTAGTATCACCCTGGAGAACCAGGGATGTTTGGGGTTGGAAGGAATTGGAAATGGCTAAAACCACAGGCACACTGAGGGCTAGAAAGAAAGGAAGAGGCTAAAACCAAAGGTGGAGGCTGGGGGGGGGGCGACGGGGGAAGGCACTGTGCAATGGACACTTGGGAGCGCTCAGCTCTGCAAGGTTCATCACATCCGGCAAGGTATCCCCACTCTTGCACGTACATGCTGGACTGGTCCAGGGTCGGTCTCACACTGGAACTTAGAAAGCAGTGCACTCTGAGATTACCTCCCCTCCTCTAATGAAGACAGTTTTAGCTGGATCAGCCTTCCCAGCGCTGTGCTGGGGCCCAACATACCACTGACTTGTCCAAAAGATGCACCCACGTCCCACGTGCTGCTGGCAGGCTCAGCAGAGAACCAACCGGCCCTAATGCTAGCCGGGAAACCACACACTGCTGGGACAAGGGCTTTGGTGTCACCTGCTAGGACCATGATGAACAATGCCCGCGACCCTGTGCACCCTCCTTTTCCAGGACACTCACCATTTGTAACCTCTGCCACGCTTGAACTTGAGAGTGAGCACTGTCTCCAGGACCAGCAAGAGGTTGAGCAGGGCCAGCAGCCAATAACGGTGCTCTTTCTTCACCCAGGTCACTCTCCAGACAGCAACCAGAGAATGCAAGACGAACAGCAGCCTAGTGACCAGGGCCTTGAGCAAAACCAGCCCCTGCATCCTGCCGGTGCGTTCTGCCATCCCGGAGCCTGCGCCCTGCCGACCCCGTAGGCAGCACCCGGAGTTCACCCCTGCTCAGGAGCGGGACAGAAGCTGGACAGCACTGGGACTGAGACTGCAGGCCGAGTTCCTCCGCACACTCCCGCGCAGGACTCCGGTAGGACAGAAGAGAGCTACTCGCCCCGCCCCTCCAACTTCCAGAGAACTCTTCAAAGAGCGAAGCTAAATCCAGTTTCCCCTGGCTGCTGGACTCTTAGGCATCTGAGGCTGCACTACCCAGGCTCAACCGGGCGTCTTTCTGCCTGCTGCTCTGCCCATCCTCCTGCGGATGCTGGGGGCCAGCCTCCATCCTTGTCCTCTTCCCCACCCCCAGGACAGCAGGGAGTCAACAGGAACGCCCTCCACTCCACTCTGAGCAAAGGGATTTCAGCTAAGGGTCAAGGTGCTCTAGGGCTGAAAGGGGAGGGGGGCATAGCACATACTCTCTCTTTGCTTTCCTACACAACTGTTCTCTGGGTAGTTCCCGCACTGAGCGGAGCACAATCGGCCCTCTTGGTGACTCGCGAATCTGGGACTCAGGAGAACCAAAGAATCTGCTGTCCAAGCAGTTTTAGAAATGAAGTGTTTGCCCAGTTTGAAGAATTGAAACTTGCAGGGACCAGAAACAATCAGAAGGACTGGTCTTTCCCAGCATCTCATTCAGTGCCTTGGCATACTTATTCAAAGCTGGTGGCGCTGGTACTCCAGGAGGTGGAGGCAGGAGGATTGCTGCGAATTCTAGGCTAGCCTGGTCTACAGTATGAAACCATGATCGAAAAAATTAAGGGAAGGCTGTAGCCTTAGCTTAGTCTTGAAACACTTACCATGCATGGGGGATGGGAGGTGCGAAAGGGAGGAGGCAGGAGGGATAGAAGGAGGAGGGGTAGGGGAAGTAGTTGTTTGGGATCTAGAACTCTTGTGATGAAGATCTATAAGTTAATAAATTCCAAGCATCATAAAGAAAGGGAACTAAAGTCAGGGCTCCAAAACCCTGCATGAATTTTGTTTCCTCATTTAATGTCCTCCAAGCTTTTATTATTATTTATTTTGCAGTGGTTTTTTTCCTTTAATTGGATTCAAAATCTCGCTGAAATCGATGTAGAAGAGTTGTGTTGTTTGTAAATTGAAAGGCTATGCAGCTGGAAGACAATTGTAAGAATAATAAAATGAATGAGGTTATTGGCAAGCTTGCCAGATTTACCTAGGGCCTTCAAAGCTCTGTGGTGCTAACTCCTTCTGTTTGATTACAAAGATGGTTTCAAGAATGATAGTCACAGTACTGTGAAGCAAGGGTGCTCTCTTGTCCATACAAGTGACATGGAAAGAAAAGGCTACAGGATGTTATCAGAGAAAGACCCATACTAAGCACCTATCTCTTCATAGATGGTGAATGTGGAGAGTACTGCCAAGACTAAGGGTGTCACTGCTCTTTAAGGATCGAGACAAGGAAAACTGGAAAGGATAGAGAGAGCCACAGCATTCTGAGGCTTGTCAAACCATTCAGCAAAGACCAAGATAATCTCCCTGGAGCCAAATAAATTGTATTTACTATGGCTTCCTGGAGAGAGACACTCCATGGAGACTAGACCAGATCAGCAAGAGTGTTAGAAAAGTCTTTAAATGTCAGGAATAACTTATTAGAAAGCATCAGGACTTAATTTAGGTGACCTTGGGGCTTAAAGACCATGGGGCTTTAGATCCAATGTTACAAAGAGTTGGATTTAATTACATGACTGGCTTTCTTCCTAAGCCTAGCTTGGGTCCTACAGTGTTTGGTCATTTGTAGCTTGAATAATTTGTTTTAATTGTGATCACACCTGAGCATAAAGGGATACTGTATCCTGATCCTCAGCAACACAGAGTTGGCCTTTTGAGTGTAAAGGGGCAGTGTTTGTATCCATATCTACAGAGTTGGCCTTCTCTGGTGTGAAGTTTCCCTTGCTCAAGAGGGGGAAATCAAACACTGGCTGACAGAAACAGTCAGTCTCTTAGTGACAGGGACTTCTCTGTCCTACATGTGTCCCACAAGAGCTTTCCAGATGGGACATGCAACAAGGGACATCCATGCAATGTCTTCTAAAGATTTTATTGGTTCTGATTTTGAAAGTTTGAATTGTGTGCAGTCCATTGTCTGGATCTGAAAGACAAAACTGTCATCAAAGACAGTTGAAAATTTCTCTTTCCTTTTTTTTTTTTTTTTTTTTTTTTTTTTTTTTCCCTCAAATACCATCTAAATAGAGAAGAGACTTTGAGAAATATGTGGAGCTCTCCAATAACCCTTTTAAGTGATTAAAACATTAAGCGGTTTTAAATTTCCATATAATTGGGGGTGGGAATTCTCAGTGTTAATACCCAGCCCCTTTGGTGCCCGTTGTTGTTACACACACAACACACACACACCAGCCAGCCAGCTTCCATCCACTCCACTGTATCCACCAGCAGGCACCACCACCCCCATCATTTCTGAATGCCAAGTGAATCCTGATCTTTCTCAGGCTTTGTTTTCTTTATTACTGCCATTTGAGTTTCAAGAAAGCCTGTTCCAAGCCGTTGGAAGGGAATGCATGCTCTAAAGTGGTAGTAGAATCCCTGAAAACCAAGAACAGGCGAGGAGAGCTGGAGGCCAGCTGTGGACTTGAGTGGCACCAGAGATCTGAGAGTTGCAGTTTGTGGATCTTTGCCCAGCAACTCTGACCGTGTTAGTTTCCAGCCAAATATTTGAAGCTGGAAAGAGATTCTATGAACTTCCTTTAACTCTAGATACCAGGAGTTATTGATTACATTTGGAATATTACAGCAGAGGTTCATGTATTTAAAGGTCCAGTACTTAGTTGATGGTATAGCTGATAAGTGAATGGATGAGAGTGGCTCCATCTTAAATGATGGGTTAATCTGTGTATGGACTCATAACTGGATCGACTATTGGGAGGTTGTGGAGATGGCAGAAACTTGGGCCTGATTTGAACTGTCACTGGAGTTGGGATTTTGAAGGTGTATCTTGTCTCCAGACAGCCTGCCCTCTGTTTCCTGCCATCTTTGAAATGGGTAACATGAATCTTCTCTATTCTGTTTTTAACATGGCATCTGCCTTGCCATGGGACAAGATAAATGGAGTGTGCCAACCACTAATGAAAACTCTGAAGCCATGAGCCAAAATTCATCATTCTTCCCTTCCATTATTCAGGTTGAGTATTTTGTCACAGTGATGGAAAACTTACTAATCAGGTTATATCTCCAGCACTGCATAGACTACCAGTTGGCTACTCTTTAGTTACTGGCCATCCCTACACAATATTTAGTGCAGTATTCTGGGTCCTCCAACATGGGCTTAGTGGGAGGATAGCAGGTATGTTGGCTAACACATGGAGAACCTACATATCTGTGTTTACATGCTAACATAGAATACTTGTCATGATACAGGTGTCCCTGCCTCATGCTGTCTACACCCTGGTATATGATTGTGAAGGTATCTGTGTGTTTGCAGTGGAGATACAGTCCAAGGAAACCTCTCCATCCAGAGGTTACCAAAGGGAGAGGTTGGTGTCAGATGTCACACTCCTCTGGGGTGGTAATCTCCACTCTTCCCTTAACTACTTGTTCATACTATTCAGTTATCATTTTGATACATAAGTGTGTGTCTGCATGTGTTAGACAATGATAGAAAAAAGTCAATTACTATATAGAAGTGTATACCTATTTTCCAGAGGAATTAATCTCAAGCAACACCTTTTACTGTTGCTGTTTCTGGTGGCTACAATCACATTTCTCAAACATACTTTACATTCCTCCACTTTAGCTAGGTCCAGTCTCCTAACAGTTCTTAGGTAATGTCTCCATTGCATATACTGCCTTCTTCTAGAATGTGGTCATAGTTAGAGTCAGTTCTTAAATTGATATACCTAAGAAGAGGGGGTCAGGGAATTGCTGCCATCAGATTAGTCTGTAGTATGTGTTCATGATTACTGATTGGATGGCCAGCCCACTGAGGGCAGTGCCATCACTGGGCAGGTGGGCCTGGGCTGTCAAAGAAAGTCAGCTGAGTAATCCAGAGGAGGCATCAGTAAACAGCATCCCTCCATGGTCTCTGCTTCAGTTCCTACATCTAGGTTCCTGCCTTGAGTTCCTGACTTGGCTTCTCTTTACAGACTATATATAACCTCAGAGCCAAAGAGTGTCTTTCTTCCCTTTCCTCCTCTGGTAGTTTTCAGTCAGTGGTTCTTTTAATTTGCTTTCTTTCTTTTTTTCATAGCAGCAAAAAGTAAACTGAACAAATGTCTTCTCCATTTCCTTTTGTCTTTTTCATCTATATTCTGACAGTGTTTCTAAAATTCATCTCCAGGGTGTCTAAGTTTGTTTTTTGATTATTATTAAACTTCAGCAGTGAATTTTGTCAAGTTATTAATTGTGAATTGATATCTTATTTTTTTAAACACTGGCTTGTTCTTGCTTGGTGAATTCTAACACCTTTTAAACTGTCCTTAATAATGTTACTTACAGCCTTATTTCCTTCGGTTGCTCACATTATTCAATCCAATGTCTCACTGTCAGTGTTTTGTAGTTGATATATTCTCAAACAATCTGAGGATGTTCTCTTGCTTGTCACGTTTGAAAATCTATGACGGGAGTAAGTTGTGATGATGATGAGTTTTCACAATTAAAGTAATTAATTTAAACCATCTAGAAACACACCTTTGAGTGTGTGTGCTAAGGCAGTTCCAAAGCTGTATAAGAAAAGAGAGAATAATGACACACTAGGCACACAACCTTGTAGACTTAGATCCCAGACTGAATACACAGGGAAAAGAAAGAGAATGGCCAAGCTCTGGCCTTCCTCTCTCTCTCTCTGCTTCCTGGCAGCTGTCTTTTGTCCTTCTGCCAGATCTCCCCCTCCCCGGCCCCCAATTTGATACACTTATCCCCTAAGCAGTGAGCCAAAACAACCTTTTTCTTTCCTAAGTAACTTATGTCAGATATTTTACCACAACAATGACAAAGATAATTCACACACACACACACACACACACACACACACACACACACACTCGTGTGCATGTACACTCCATTTGCTGTTTGCCCTTTGCATGAGCTGTGGTTCCAGACAGAAGGGCATGAAACACTTGTC